AAACTTGTCCAGTCTATGACTCGCCGAGTTGTATGAACAACTCGTCGAGCCCATCTTCAAAGGTTGGGAGATTGCCTTGGACTCGCCGAGTCTTTTCATTTACTCGTCGAGTCCCATGATTCCCAGGTCCCTTTAAGAGTCTAAACATTTACGACACTTCCTTCCCGAACCACTGGTCCAACCACAGAAGGGATTTAGTGGTCATTACACACCGACTCGCCGAGTTCCAAGAACAACTCGCCGAGTCCCTTCTTGACCCTTACTATACAGTCGATTTAAAAGGATCTTAACACGTCAAAACCATAGATCTGGCCTCCTAATGTCCATTTTATACGTAAAGTTCCAAACTTGGTGTACATGCATGGGGTTTTTGGCTCAAAAATCCATAAAAGGTGCTCTAGAATGTGCATGGGGCTCTCATGGCCATACAATTGGCACCTTTATGCCATGAGACCCCTCCAATGACTCAGATCTGAAAGTAGAACCCTATGAATCACTTCCCAAATCCGAAAATGCCTTAGAAATCCCTAAATGCACCCAAAATCTAAGCCCTAAAGATGAACAACCAAATGGAAGACCAAAACATGGGGCATTTACCTTGATTGAGCTAAAGATGGAATAAGATCTCTGGATCTACAAGACCCAACTCAAATTCCCACGCTTCTTCCTTCCTTTCAAGCTTCAAAAACCACCCAAAAGCACCAAAAATGGCCTTAGATCACTCAAAGCGGCTAGGGTTTCGATGAGAGGTGTTCTGGGAGCATAAGGGACAATGGAGGCTGCAATAAGACGTTTAAATAGGGTGCAAACCCTCAAATTTAGGGTTTCACTCAAACAACACCTACTCGCCGAGTCAGTCTACCGACTCGTCGAGTAGGTCACTTAAAATGTCCGCGGGTCCCGACTCTACTAGACGAGTTGGGCCTCCAACTCGTCGAGTCCCAGAGAAAACATAAGAATTCTTGAATTAACTGCGTATCGGGAATCAGGTGTTACAGACATTTGATGCATTTTGCAGGTAATTTCATAGTTAGGACTTGTATAATTTAAGACTATATTTGAAAACCCAACTTTTTGACTAAATCTTGGAAAAAAACCTACTTTTTTATCCGTTCTGTATCACATTTGTCATGTTTGGTGAATTATTTAAAACAAAATTTGTGATATACATGGATAGATAGTACAATACATAGTTCAATCCTAAAAGAAAAAAAATACATTTTGACATTTAAGATCAAATCTTAACAAACAAAGCATTCTATAGCAAACATGAAAACATAAATGTAGATAATCAAGAGAGAAGTGATGCAAAAACCAAAACTAATCGAAATCATGGCGTCTCTTCCCCTTACTTCTCCTGTGTCTCCTGTCATCATCATCATCACGCCTTTTCTCTCTCCTTTCATGCTTCCTCTCATCTCTCTTTGCATTTGCACTTTTAGGTACCTCCATTGTCACCACGAGATGCAATGAACTTGACTCTTCCCATGCTTTAGGTACCTTGTAGTATAATTTTAAACAAATGTTAAAACTTTACACCCTAAAAACATAAATAACATACTAATATTTGGTATTATGGATTAGAAACCTACTTGGAAAAACCAAGACCTTGAACATGAGCAGCCTCAGCATGACCTGCTCCCAAATCTTCAGCAACAAAACCTCTATTCACAAGTTCAGAAAATTCATGTTTATCAAGTCTATTAACTTGAGGTTTTGAAGAACGCTTAGGAGCTAAACCTAATGCCTCCCTCATAGCCAACTATTCTTATTCCTTGATCATTCTTATCTCTTCTTTTGCAGCTTCCATGTCTGCTTCTTTCGACTTTTTATCTCTAGAATACCAATGTAGATCCTTTCCTGTTGTTCAAGGTTACATGTATATATTAATGGAAACCCCTAAAAAGATCTATTTGTCTACTTTTCAATATTGCAACTAAAGAATGAATGACTAACCTTTCTGCCATCTCCCTACAGGAGCCTTGAGACTATGACCAATATAGTTTTCTCTATATTTATCAACCTTCGCATCATCCCGCTTAAATTCTGCACATTAGTAACATAAATCATGTTAATATGAGTTTTCAAATATTCTTATTCTATGTAATGATCATCTTGATCTTAGTGTACTACTTTCCCTTAAATCCATCCAAATATCAGCGTATTGGCTTATTTCACAAAACTGAGAAAAACAAATTTGTAATAATCCTTCTTTAAAGTGTTGAATGATTTCAAAAGATGAACAAATTCCCAAACATTCATCCTAATATATGTACCCTAGATACCAGATCGATTAACAAACATTCATCATGTAATCTCACAGAAGCAATTTATCAAATTTCCGGATATAAACACATAAACAGAAGACAGATATACTAAACTTAGGTCATAACTGATTTTAAAACCCTGAAAAGCAAAATGTGAGGCTGAACTTATGATCTCGACCACCACACACACCACCTCTAGAAGGATGATTAATAGTTGCTAAGAAATGTTGCAATTTAAGTTTAACAGAAGGAAAGGTATGATTCAATAGTGATGAACGATTATCCATAATCCCTGGGTAGGTTTTCGTTCAATTTAAGTTTGTATTCCTTTATAATATCAAAACCTAAAGTTTCATGAAATGGTCCTTTAGTTGATTCATGAAAAAATATGAAATATTTCGAACTGAAACATAGCTACAATCAAATGAAAGAATATAAAAACATACAAAACCCAAATTTAAAGACAAAGATAAACATAAACCCATTCGATGATGACCATCAGAAACAAATCGATGGAGAAATTGAAACCTAGATGATGAACATAAATCATCTCAATGGAAAAATTGTGTATGTAAACTATAGCAGAGAATCCAATTGAAAAACTTACAATCGTGAAACAATTTCAAGTATTTTTTTTAGATTGAGTCATCGAGATACCTGTGAAACCTGCAAACCAGTGAAATTAAAGAAGAAAGTGTGCAACCATAGTTTATAGGAATTGATTTGAAGATGATTTCGTTTTAGAACCCTAACTTCCTCCAAAACTATTGATTTGGAATTACTTGCGAGATTTGGGTATTTCAAATTTGAATTAATATCTGGTTTCCAAAATCAAGAAGGCCAAATTAGAGGAAACAAATACGTGATTTATGTGATTTGTAGAATAAGCAGATGGGAGCTGAATGGGCAAAATAAGTATTTCACTTTGTAAAAGAGAGGAGCTTAGAAGATGTCACATGCGGGGGCGGAACACAAACATCAAAACTAAAGGGGCCGAAACCATAACATAAAAAATCATTTACATAAGTTTTCCTTTTAAAACTTAGATTGATTTTCCATGTTAACATACACTATATACAATAGGTAGCTAACACTTAAAAACAATTTGATAAAATAACAATTTCATATACATTTTGCAATCAATTAATGTTTTTTTAAAATAGTGGCATTGCTTTTACAGCAATTGATTATACTAACTAGACGAACAATTGAACTTTTAACCAATATTAAAATTAAGTAATACATTAATAAACACATTTTTATCAAACAAAATCTAAAATTCTAATTAAATTGTGTTGGATGTCCTCGATTTAAAAAAATAAACGAAAAAAGAAACAGTAACGTCTTTTTAGATTATAAAAATAATAGGCTAAATAATAACATATAACAAAAGTTGTCAGACTACTTTTTTAGATTTTATGGTTTCAAAACAACTATTCATCTTCATAAGAGACGGAGGTAGAGGGAGCGTACAAGTATTTCTTCCATAGAGAGATCTACCAATGTGTTTGAAGGTCGTCGGTGGATGTGACAACGGTCATAGACCATATATATGGCTGAGGTGAGCATAAGAGGGTGAAGTGACGAACGGCGGCAGTGATATTTTCCGGTGAGCTTGACAACTCTTTTTCCGATGGCAACAAAGATTTTTTAGGGTTTTTTATCATCCCAAATATTAATAGCTTGTATATCTGAATGGTGATTTGTTTTTTTTTTATTTTTTTTATTGTTTTAGTTTCCTACATAAACGGTATCGGTTTGAATTCTTCAGTGATTTTCGTGTTTTTGGATAATTATTTATGTAGTTTCCCAACTTATAAATCTCCTAATAATGTAAGATTGGTTTTCTTATTATATTTTTGTTTTTTAAGAACATGAAAGCAAAAATCTAGGAGGGGCCATAAGATAAGTTATATGGTTTTTTGAAGTTGGTTAAGTGTATATACACTAATGACATGTCGAAAAACCAGGGGGGCCATGGCCGCCTCTGGCCCTCAAGAGCATCCGCCATTGGTCGCGTGGACAAAAAAAATCCGCCATTGGTCGCGTGGACAAAAAAAATCCGCCACTGGTCGCGTGGACAAAAAAAACCAGGGGGGCCATGGCCCCCTATGTGCAACTTCCTGCTAAGTAGTTAGTTTCCTAACCTGATTTTACTTCTCACATAATGAGCTTGGGACAATCCGTGAGCTGATTTAGGTTGCCTTTTGGGGTTTGGGACGATACTTTAATATCATATACAAACTTAACATCACATATCATCTTATGGGATTTTATTTAATGCACACAAGATCTAGCAACATCAATACTTGCTAAATTGCTAAAACTCAAACATGCATACCCATGGAATCATAATTTTACCAAATGTTTAACTATCTATTAAATGTTACAATTTCATTAATCGAATATGCTTTAATAAATCGACATCTTTTTGTTTTTATATATCAATTTAATTCAGTTAATTGTATATTTATATAGATATTTGACACCTTGGATACTCTTATTGATTTTATAAATCAGCAAAATATGATAACATAATGTAACGTAACAACTCATTCTCAATAACTTGTAACGATGTTATTTTATACATATCAAACAATATTTGTAAAGTTAACCTTTCATCGAATCAAAGACGTCCACGTGGTGGAAGTGCATTATAGCTTCAAGAGATTTTATTCCACCTGAACATTCCTCGTAAAATATATAAATTAAATATAAATTCTGGTTGATAGAAAATTTCCCGTCGTTCGAGTTTTCGGTTATAGCACCACCGTTTGGAAGAGTTCGTTGGATCTGTGATACCGGCGAATCGACGTATCTCGCCGGATCTCTAGGTTCGGCGTCGATGGTGTTCCATGGCGTAGGTCTCCGCCGTGCTCTGGAGCTAGCATTCTGTATCGCTGGTATTTGGTCGGCTTATATATATCAAGGCGTTCTTCAAGAGACCGTGTAAGCGTTAGTTTTTAGCTATGGATCTCTTAAATTCCTTTTGTTGATTTCATGTATTATGTTATTCATCTAATTGTTTCATACTTTTAGCATTTAGTGAATTTTGAATTTCTAACTTGTAATAATGGAATTTCTGATGATTGATGTTTGATTTCCATGAACTCGTCGAAGAAATTGAAAGTAACGCATACAGGAAGTTTTAACTTACTATCTATCAACATTGACGATAAATTTAGGTTAGTGCTGTTACTATTTTACAATTAAAGTATAGGATGATCATTACGTCAAAATGATGTCGATTTTAGATCCATTGGAAGTTTTTTTTGCAATCTACCCTCTCACATTAAACACATAGCTTAAGACTAACATTGCTGTCACCTTTTACTAATGGAAATGTAAGGTTCTATTAAGTTATGAGAATTGCAGAGTTTGGGTTTTTTTCAGGGGATGAACTCCACTAGATATTTTTGTTATTTGTAAAGCAGAAAGCGACTATGACTTTTGGATACAAAGTCTAATTTGGAATCATGGATCCAAGAACCCTATAGGCTTTTAGAGATGAAAGTCGTCGATAATGATGATTTGCTGCTCTCTTTTTGTTTGGATATTTCTTCTTCAAAGTTCAAACATATAGTGTTTTTTTCTTCATGCAACTTCAAAGGAAATTGAACAACCAATTGAAAGAATTAGCAATCCTATTTTAAGCAAAATTCTCAGCCATGTAATGTGTACTAATCTTCCTTTCTATGTTAATGTGATTGTGTGCAAGTGTGGTCATGATTCATGAATCCTACCAATAACTTGTTTCTATTTTCCTTTTTAGAGTAAAACATGTTTACAGTTCTTTGAAAACTTGGTAGATGTTTTTACTTTTTATCATCTTTTGCTTAAAACTTAGTTGTTGAATTTCCAGGTCTACTAAGAGATTTGGCCCTGAGAAGGAGAGGTTTGAACATTTGGCATTCTTAAACCTGGCACAAAGTGCTGTTTGTTTACAATGGTCCTTCGTTAGTGAGTCTTTCTTATGTTTCTTCATTTTCATTTCTTTTCACTATACTATTAAATATTAATACTAACAATTTCTGTTCATTACATTAGTGATAAAGCTTTGGGGCAAGGGTAAAGGTGTTCGTGCTCCATGGTGGAGTTATTGGAGTGCTGGAATTACAAACACAATTGGCCCTGCAATGGGGATTGAAGCTCTAAAATACATCAGTTATCCTGCTCAGGTATTTAAACAGTATAAAAGCAAGTGATTTTGTAACAAATGTATTTATTGTTTTTGACAATCTTATTCTTTTTTCATTATATCACTTACAGGTCCTTGCAAAATCTTCCAAAATGATTCCAGGTGTGTCATATGTTGTTCTTCATATCACTTATAAAACCTAGCTTCATAATCAATTAATCATACCATTTTTACGTAATATTAATAATCAAACTTAATCTTTTGCACAGTGATGTTGATGGGGTCCCTCGTTTATGGTATTCGATACACTTTTCAGGAGTATCTTTGCAGTCTCCTTGTTGCTGGTGGTGTTTCAATCTTTGCGTTGGCAAAGGTGAATTTATTAATATTCTACTCAAGACAATTATTTTAATTAGTTTATTTTTCTTATAAAAACTCAAAATTAATTAATTTCAATGACTTTATTTTACCCAGACTAGCTCAAAAACCATAAACAAACTTGCTAATCCAAATGCTCCACTCGGATATGGACTTTGCTTTCTCAACTTGGTGTTTGATGGTTTCACAAATGCGACACAAGATTCAATTTCCGCAAGGTACTTTATTTAAAAAAATATTATTTTCCTAATATATCATGTATGTAACAAGATTAGGGTTTTGTGATTATTAAATTAAAATATTAAGTGAAATAAATATAGTTGTTGCACCTTTAATTAAACAGGTTGAAAATAACTTTGCTAATTTTAGGTAGGGTTCAGTTCCAGTCCAATGCATGTGAAATACAGTATTTTGTAGGTACCCAAAAACAAATGCATGGGACATGATGTTAGGAATGAACTTATGGGGAACAGTATACAACACGGTTTTCATGTTTGGTTGGCCTGAAGCGAGTGGATATGAAGCAGTTCAATTTTGCAAACACAACCCTGAAGCAGCATGGGATATTTTATACTACTGCTTATGTGGCGCGATTGGTCAAAATTTTATATTTTTTACAATTAGTCGTTTTGGTTCGTTAACTAACACCACTATCACCACAACTCGCAAATTTGTGAGTATTGTGGTTTCGTCTGTGCTTAGTGGCAATCCTTTATCTCCAAAGCAATGGGGGAGTGTTGCTATGGTTTTTACTGGATTATCCTTTCAGATTTACCTCAAAAAGAAGAGACCCAAGAGAATGAAGAAAAAGAAGAAGCATGTTTGATGAAAATTCGGTCTAAACCACATTTTTTAGGTAAATCTTTTTTTTTTTCATTAGTTCATTGTTTAGTTCGAATACATAATCCATAAAAATTAATTTTTTTAGATTAGAATTTTCTTGAGTGTTACCATAGAGAAAAAGTTGTACTTATTTCACATAATTCTTTTTTCTCAAGTTATGTCAAGTATTTTCTCTCTTTTTTAATAGTCAAGTAGTTTAAGCTTTTGCTAGTTTGCTAAGTTGGTATTTTATCTAATTAGATGTGTTAAGTATGTGAAGCATGTATGCTGTAGTTATGCTCGAGTCAAGGTAACATGTGACAAAATGGCTTATTAGTTATTAACTTATTATTGCCAACTTAGAATTTATAGTAAATTACAAATTTGGTCCTCATGCTCTACCAAAAATCTCAAGTTCAGTCCAAATTCTAAATCTGTACTCTCAATGTGATCCTTGACTCATAAAATGACTTCATCTTTTGGACTAAACTTGTGCTTTTAAAGCACGGGGACCATATCCAGAATGAAATACAATTGACACAATTTTAAAATTTGGACTAAATTTGCAACTTTTAAGTAAATTATAGTGACCAAATTTGTAATTTACTCTAGAAATTATTTGTAGGTATCAGTACGCACCAAATTATTTAAAAAAAAAAAAAAAAAGTCTATTTCAGGTTAGTTTAGAAACTGACAAAAACAAAACTGGTCTAAAATGTCAAAAGTCATTTGAAGTTTTATTTAAAATGCTTACCACTGAATATAATTTTTAAAATCGTATTAATTACCTATAAATTAAAAAAATAAACAACGCGTACCAACTACCTAACAAGATTTGTTTTATTTAAAATGCTTACAACCCAACAACCAATCATTGATTTATATGCATTAATGCATATATGCGATTTAAAATTGGAGAAAAAGAAGAAAAGGTGGATGAAATGGGGCCTCCATAGAAACATGCTTTTAAAATTTGTACAGTTTTCCCTCTCTTCTCTCTTCACTTCCACATACCTTTTCTTTAAGAAATCATTTTCCCAAACCAACAGCCCCTATACCAACTTGTACCCAATGCTTTAAGAGTTGTACACATCTCTAAATTCACCAATTTCCACCCTGAAAAAAATAACCAAACCTTCTTTTTGCTCATCATTATCAGCAGAGCTGACCAACTTAAATACACCAACAGATCTGCACACTACAATCCCCACCTTCCCCACAACCCAAAACCACCATTTTTAACCAAATTTACACACTGACACACAGTGACAAACAGCATCAATCTTTCATCGTCTGCAAGTAAGTTTCTATATCCCTTTCTTTAACTACATTGTCTTCTTTGCATTCAAATTTATATAATAATTTACGAAACTTTGAAGGCAAAAAAATAAAAGGAATAAGCTTCTGCACACAAGAATCACATCCGCTAAAAACCAATCATTGTAGGTTTAATACATTACAATATCAAAAAATAAAAAAAAAAACTTATACCATAACCTTCTATTCTACACACACACACACACACTAAAAATGGAGTTCAACTGGGGTGGTTGAGCCTCCTCCTCACTCACTCACTTCTATGCTTCTAAAACTTCCCCCTTTTCCATTTAGGGATAATATTGTAAATATCAGCAACTCGCCGATGTATAATTACACTCTGTAAGAAAAAAAATATATATGTTCTGTGCATGATTTTGGCATATTTTGAGGCCAAATAATTATGAGGGGGAATACTAGCCATATTCGAAACCCTCCAAAAATGTGAAAAAACAAAAACAATGCATGTCAACTAGTAAAATGTAAATCCTTGATCTACTTGTGGTTGTGGAATGTACCGGAACATTCCAGATTTTGATGCAGATCTTGATGTTGATCAAACCTTTTTGTGTAAAAAATCAGGCTGATATGATATGAGACAACTGCAAAATCCTATGAAAAAACTCTACATTACATGGGAATAATCAAATCAAAGGCAATGGAGAAGAGCTCTTTTGCAAGGTGGAGGTTGTGAAGTTCTGATTCCTGGCTTTGGTGGTGGTGTTGATTCCATTCCAAGTGTTTTTAGTAGGAAGTTCCTTTCCTGAAAAAATGTATAAATTCAAAATCATAAAAAATGCTAGGGTAGTGTTCTGTATGGAGTAATCAAAGAGGGAATGGAAGATTCCATTTCATTCCATCTTAGCAAGAGAACTTACACTTTCTGAAACTGTGGGCTTGGAATTCCTGCTGCCATTGATCTAAACAATGGAGTTACTTGAAGTGGGGAATTGAATTGGGAATTTGGCAAGGGACATATGCCTCCAACATCATTCTCACATTCATCACAAGAAGCTAAAATATCTGTGTAAACATAAGTTTCTTGTTAGGGGTAAAAAAGGTAACTCACACCAAATCTTCACCGCTGTATAGCAGCAAAATTTACCTAGGTTTGTTGTTGAATCAGGTGTTACTATATTTTTACCACAAATTTTCTCAATCACTTGGGAGAGAACAGTTGACCCTGTACTGTACTCTGAGCTTTCTGGGGATCCCTGATATAAATCAGGCTGTCTGCACGGCACAAATAAAAATACGATAAATATTAAATATTATGTCATGTCAGGTGAATTTCCAATTATGTCCTCATGAGTCGTGTCTACTACCTCCATGATTGTTGGCTGCCTTCATCACAGCTTCTTATGTCCATATCAGACATGTTATTGTTACCTCCAAGCACATTGGTTTTCTTTAAAAAATCTTCAACAGCCTGAAAATAATTAGTATTTGATAAAACGTAAGATTTTCACATGTTTTTCAACAAAGAAACAATAACAATATAGTTATCATGAAAAAAAAAAAGTTATTCACCTTGCAAGCATTTTCATAACTTTCCTCTGTTTTCTCCAGAGTAACTTTGAGTGCAAGTGAACTGAGAAGTTCTGCTTGTTGTAGCAATGCAATAATCTTCGGGTCATCTTTCTTCAGAAATGTTCCTTCAAGAATCGTATCATTAGTTTCTTTCTATCAATTTGAAATACTTTTTATTAATTTTATTATCCAATCAAAGCATTCGAATTTCAATAACTTGAGTTTTTATTATCTAAGAAATTGTTTTTTTTTTTTCATTAGGTGTTGTATGGTTAAAGTGCTGAATGGATAAACCAATAGTATTTTTTTCTGGACCGAATGAACAGTTTGAGTGTGAAAAAATGACCATTTTAACCTTCGGTTTTAAAGTGATACTGCTGGTTATAAATGATTGATAAAATGCAACAAAACCCGATTGTTCTTGGGGAAGAAAAGAAGACAAGTGGGTTTAAATAGGTTTAAAAAAAGAGTTTGGTTCAATGGATAAAGAATGAGGTTTAATGGATAAAGATATCCTCAATACAGTCAACTCAAGTAAGCTCATTGTTTATATTAAGTCAAAAAGAAACACCACTATATATCTGTCTGGATCTGGATTAAGTCATGTCCCCATTATGTTAAAAACAAACAAACAGCACATAAGAATCCTTTTGTGCATTAACTTTCCACCCACCATACAATCAACAACTTCAAGATTCCATTTTAATGGTGTATTACCATCTTTTGAGACCTCTTCACTTTTGGGATGAAGCTGTGTTGTTAAGGTGTTGATGTTATGGCTCTCTTCTGTTGTATCAGGAATATGTTTCCTCCTAAATCAATACATATACATCATACATTAATGTCAGAAATAGAATTTGATTTTAATACTCTATATCAAAAATCTATATCCAAAAATACCTCATTTTCGAAAGAGGCATTGAAGGTTCTAGAACTCTGTCTTCATTTTGTCCATTCTGAAATCTGGTCCTTTTGTTGTTTGGTGTGATGTAACAAGTGTTGTTCTCTTTTGCCATTGCTTCATTCTTTGCTCTCTTCTTACACAATGTGGAAAACCGATTCTTGACAGCATTATCCGTTCTTTTTTTTAAAAATAAAAAAAATTATAGTCTTTTAGTTATTTTTTCAATAAAAACTTAGCAATCAAAAATCAATATAGAAGAGAAGAACATCATTTACCTGCCTGAAACCACTTTTGCTATTTCAGTCCATCTGTTACCAAAAATCTTTTGAGCCTCACATAAAAGCATGTCTTCTTCTTGTGACCATCCTCCTTTCTTGAAATCAGAATTCAAATAAGTGAACCATCTGTGTTTTATAACATTTATCCAAATCAAGAGTTAGTAGCAATAAAGGAATTTTTGGATCTTAAAAGATATAAGATTAAGTAAAGATACATGTTATTTTCCTTATGGTTACCTTCTTCTGCATTGCCTTGTAGTTTTATCCTTAAACTTTGATGCAACAATAGCCCAACTGAAAATGACAGTATGATACCCATCAATCTTATGAATCCAATAAGAAATAGCTTTTCAAACATGAGATTTGAAGAAAGGAAATCATACTTGTCGATTCCATGGATACCGATTTGTTCCCTTAATATATCATCTTCCTGAAGAAATACAAACAATGGAGATGTTGAACAAGATGATGATTATGAGAGAAAGATGAGTTATTATTTGAGTGATCATATTCATAATGAACCTCTTGACACCAGGAAACTATATGCCTCTCTTTCTGCTTCTGAGCTTCACCATCACCACTACTGTTGTTGTTATTAGAACTACTAGTAGAATCACAGGCTTTCTTCTTCATATTCTGCATCCTTCACCAACAAAACCGCTCTCTCCTTTATCCCAAAAACCTAGCTCTCGCATGCTATGGTAAAGGAACTCTTTTTGCGTTTATATGTGGGTGGATTTTGTTATTTGTGTTTATATAAAGAAGTAAATAAAAGATAAGCAAAAGGAACCCCAAAATTTCCCTCTTTTTAGGGAGAAAACTTTACAGGCTACTGTTTACTTCAAACGGAACACCACATGTACACACACATATGGAGCAAAACGTCATACGTCGCATTTGCCTTGGATTCCAACCTTTTGTATTGAATCAAAAATCAGCCGCCTTTGATGCCCTAAAACCATACAAACAGAATCCAAATAAATGAGAACGAGAAAGTTGAAACTGAAAACAGATTGATTAAAATTCACAACTATAAGAAGCGAAACCAAACACGGATTGGATTATGGATTAAGGATTATATTGAAATCATATATACTACTACCTTTTGGTATCGTATATATCGCGAGAATCGAGAAAGAGGAGTCTCCGTAGATCTGAGGGAGTTTGCGGTTGATCTGGAAGTATAATACAAGTTAATACGATCGAATGAGGGCGGCGAAACTGTGGATATTGAAATTTATTTTGGAAGAAATGGAAAATATACCTGTAAATCGGTGTTTCGCTCTCTAAGAAAAGGTGTGGGTGGTGGGGCTTGAGAGCGCGGGCATGAGGAGGAGTTTGAAAAAACTGACGCTGAAATCCACGAAGGAGAGAGAAAATGTAATGTAATCTAATCAATTGAAATTCAGTAAAATCACCATTATTAATGGTGTGGTTATTGATTTTTACGCTCCGGGATGATGATGATGATGGGCCGGCGGTGGTGGTAGGGGTAGGGTTTTTGATTTCGCTGTCACTTTCCCTTTCTCTTCCATGTGATTTCTGTAAATGTTAATTTTTTTAAATATATACTTTTTTTTTTCAAATATGTAAATAACTTCAACGAATTAACGCATTAACGTATGAACAATCGATTCAATTTACACGTATTTAATTATGGTAATATTTCTTATAATTAATACTTCATTAAATGATTCTTATATGTGTCCTCAGGTCCCGTTTGGTGAGGAGAACACAGTGGGACAGAACAGGACTACAACTTTTGAGAGGGTGTTTGTCATACTTAGAACCGGAACAAAGTAAAAGTTTGACCAAGTCCAATGGGACAATTTAGTAAAAAAATAGTCCCACCCAAAAAGATGGAACTCAACGGAACACGTATTCATCTTTTCTCAATCTGGCGAAAATGTCCCTGGAACGAGTCTCACCTATATCAATTGCACACAGAATATCATCGTCTTCAATCTCATCTCTGTCTTCCAGGATATCTGCGCATTCGACTGTATCATCCCAGGTACTTTTTTTTTGTTAAACTTCATCTCTTTACTTACCTGATTGACTTCGAATTTTCTTCTACATTTCTTGATTTCTTGATAATCACCTTCATCTTGATCTGCTCTTTAGTTATCAATTGATTTCTTGATAATCAATTGATTTCTTGATAATCAATTAACCGAGTTCTGACGACTTCCTGCTTAAGTGTATAGTTTCTTGATTTCTTGACAAATGATTATGCAATTTCTTCTTTTCTCATTCCCTTATAATTAAATATGAGCAGTTTTGATTTAAAAAAAAAATATGAGCAGTTTTGATGTTATCAATCCGAGTAATTTCCATGCAAATGGAATGGTATAATCCATACCAATGATCACAAGGTAAATTTTAGACGAAAATGCCCTTGAATATAGTTATTATGAATATTTTTTGCAAAAGGGTAGTATGATCATTTTTACATCTTGTTATGTCCAGTTCTATTGTTATCAAACAGTTTCAGACAACTTGTTATGTGATGTTCAGTCTTACCAAACGCTATATAGATTATTTGTCCTGTCCTGTCCAGTCCAGTCCAGTTATGTTCTATCCAGTTCTTCTGCCAAACGGTACCTTAGGGCACATATTAGAAAATCCCTACATTTTATCATATTTTTGTCTTTCAACCTTATCAGTTTTTTTTTTAATATTTTAATAGAACGACACATTAACAGCGGAAGCGGAACCTGCTTTTGGAACCGGAACCATCTCAAAAATGTCGGTTCTAAAACTGGTTAAACGGTTCCGGTTCGGTTTCTAAAGTTTCGGAACTGCCTTAAGTGGTTTCGATTCCAATTCTCATTTTTACGAAATCGATACTCGTTGGACACCCGTTGGTTCTGGTTCCAATACCGGATATCCGGAACAGGGGGTTAACAGAACCGGTATCGACGGCTACCCACCTTTTTCTAAAAATATATATATTTAATTTTTATATTTTGTGACTTTTTTTATTATGAAAAATAGGGGAAAAGAACCTGGCCTTAGTTGTTTTTTGGGTTTATGTGATTCATTCTTACAAAAAAACGCAGACACACTACACTCTCTTCTCGCAATCGTAAGACGTCGACTATTTATCGTCTCTCACAGTCTCACTATTTCTCGTCTCTCAATTGTCTCTCACAGTCTAACTATTTCTCGTCTCTCAATTCGCTGGTTTTCTTGACTCATTCGATTTGATGGAGTAGAAAACGACGGTGGACTCCCTCAATTCGAGTTCTTATCTCGTAACCCTCCCTCAATCTCCCGCTCACGATGTTCTCCTTGTTCAATCAAATACCGGAGAAATCCAATCACCGACCATCGCTGCAACTACAAGTCTCCATCTTCAAGGTCAGATTCTCGAACTGTTACCTCCATCTGTTAATATCTCAATTTTTCTGTTGACTTACTATTACCTGAAACTTCGATTATTCCATATGTTAATATGTTGATTTTTTTTGTTGATTGTAACTTGGAATTTCGAAATTACATCTGTTGATTGTTACCTCCATGACCGTTCCCATATGTTCTGTTCATCTGTTATGTTCTATAGTATGTACTCTGTACTTAAGAGTCAAAGCAATCCATATCTGATATCTTGATTTTTTTTTGCATCTATTACTTCCCTCTGGTAACTGAGATCAGTTCGCTTGGTTTGTGCTTTGTTGTTTGTTAAAGATACAATAATCATAAGTTCATTGTTTTGTTATTGTATACTCAGAAGTTCATCGTAATCAGAAAAAGTAACCAGATATCATGGTTGTTATTGAATTATTTTTGTCGTCTCAAGACTTCATTGTTATATATTGGTTGTTATCGATTTATTTTCCTAAAATTTTAGGTTTAATAATGGAAAGTAGTCGAATTTATGTAGACTTGGATGGTGAAAGTGAGGTCGTTGAGCAAAACAAAATACCGGTAGTTGGGGACAAAAGGACATAAGATGCTTGGTGCAACTACACAGACGTTAGAGATCCAAACACGAGCAAGTTTGTAAAGGTGCAATGCAAACATTGTTCCAGCCTCTTGACAGTTACCACAAAGAATGGCAAATCATCTTTGGATAAACATAATGTTGTATGTTTACAAAATCCTAATAGTATAAATAAAAAAACAAAAGAAAATTAGCACTTTTAGAACAAGTCAAAGTGATGCCACCACCTTTTCTAATTGGAAAATTTAGCCAAAATACAATCATGCTTGCTTTAGCAAAAATGATTGTCATTGATGAGCAACAATTTACATACGTTGAATGTGACGGGTTCAGATATCTCTGTAGTGTTGTTCTATAGTTTTGTCTCCCGTCACGTTTCACAGTTGCTAGAGATGTTAGTAAAGTGTTTCTTAGTGAGATGAAGATATTGAGAGATACCTTTGAAAAGTTTGAATTCTAGGATTGCTCTTACTACCGATTGTTGGACTTATGTGCAAAATTTAACCTATATGTTTTTAACAGCTCATTTTATTCATGATAATTGGAAATTACATAAAAGAATTTTGAATTTCTATAATATCGATAGTCATAAAGGTAAAGAAATTGGGAAATAAGTAGAATCTTGTATTCTTTATTGGGGTATTGAAGAGAAGTTATATTGCATCATTGTAGGCGCAAGTGCTAATGATGTAGCTGTTGTTCGTATAAAAGATAAGCTAATGGATAAACTTTTCTTAGGATGTGAGTTTTTCCATATAAGATGTGTCGCCCATATCTTAAACTTGATTGTTAAAGATGGTCTCGAATTGATTAAAGATGTCATTGTTAGGATTAGGGGTGCAGTTAGATATGTTAGGAACTCTACGGAAAGATCTAAATTGTTTGATACTTGTGTTTTAAAATAAATTTTTTTAAGTAAAGTGTCGGTATCTCTTGATGTACCAACATAGTGGAATGCCACTTACATTATGTTGGAAACAACGCTTAAGTTTGAGAGAGATTTTAAAAGAATGAGACAAGCAGACCCCAAATTTGAGAAGGATCTTAAATATGGATTTCCATCCTAAAAAGATTGGGAAAGTGCTAGAAATTTATCTCTTTGTTTGAAGCAGTTTTTTGAAGCCACAAAAAGGATGTCGGGAACTTTGTATGTTACAGCTAATATGAATTATCATGAGGTATTAGTTGTACTTGCTTCCTTGTTGGAGTGGACACAGGATGATGATATCAATATTGTTCTTATGGGTGATCAAATGAGAAAAAAGTTTGACGAGTATTATGGAGACTTTGGAAAAACAAATGTGATGGTGTTAGTTGCGGTTGCTAGTGAGTCCACTTTTAGTACATCCAGTCATGTGGTGGATGACTTTCGTAGTAATTTGCTTCCAAAGACTATGGAAACTTTGATTTGTACTCAAGATTGGTTGAGGGCATCAAATGTTTGTATTGACCTTGAACAATTATTGGAAGATGTGGAAAAATACGAGGAAGGTAATATGAAAGATACACTTTGATTTATTATTTTATTTTATGTTTATTGTATAATATTTAATATTCTAATTTGACTTTTTATGCTTAATTTCATTGCAGAAATCAGTCGCAATATGGAAGATACACGTGGAGGAAATAAGTAGTTGTTGTTTTTGATGTTCGGATGTTGATTTGTTGTTGTAGTTGTTTCTGATGTTGTTGTTTTGTGTTGTTGTTGTTTGCCGTTTGCTGTTTTTTGTTGTTGTTTTGCTATCGTTGTTTTACTGTATTTATGTTGTTTTGAAACTTGCTTAAAATTGTTTGTTGTTTTGATGTTTTGTTGTTGTTATTTTGGCTTTTGTTATTGCTGAAAATTGTCATTTTGTCATATTACTTGCTAAATTCAACTTGTGTTGGCATGGTGTTTTGAGATCAAGTTTTTATAATTATTTTAGTTTTATATCTGGTACTCCTAGTCGGGTATTGTTTATAAAAGTTTATTTCAATGACATGTATAGTGTAAATAATCAAGAAACTGGGTATCCGGAACCGGAACCAATCATGGCGGTTCCGGGAGGGGTTCTAACTTTCTAGGAACCGGTGTAGGCGGTTCCGGTTATAATACTGATAAATTCAGAACCGCCGGTTCCGGGAGTGGTTCCGGTTCCACTTAAAATAGGCGGATACCCGTTTATGCTCATCCCTACTACAATATATTGCATATTTGCCCATTTAGTCTCTAAATTTATTTTTGTGCTTTATGAGGGAATAATCTTGTTTTTGTCGGGTCTATTTAGTCCTTTTTGAATAAATAAATGGGTAAGTCAGTAACTTCATTGTCACCTCATTAAAGTGCTTTTCCATCCCATTTAAGTTGTCGACGTGTATTTGCTGACTGTTTTTGTTAGGGTTTTTAATGAGACATACCGACAACACTTGAAGTCATCCTTTCTCTGTCCACTGCATCCATTTCCTTCCTCCAATTTCATTCTTCTAATACGGCAATATACATCGTTGTCGATGTGCACTTCCAAGGTATCTTTGACAAGTATCCCATACGATACACGGACGAAATTAATCAGAGGCTGTAGAACATTATTTTCGCAAGCATGGACAAGG